CAATTTAGAGATTTTTAAAATAATGTGGGTGCATGGCACCTGGGTGGCTCAGTCAGTTGAGTGTCTCATTCTTGATTTTGGCTTAGGTCATGATCTCAAGGTTGTGGGATTGAGCCCCACATCAGGCTCCGTGCTCATTGTAGAGTCTGTTTAAGATTCTCTCTTTCTGTCCCTCATCCTCCTCATGCTCTAAATAAATAAATAAATAAATAAATAAATAAATAAATAAATAAAATCTTAAAAAATAAAATAATCTGTCTTAAAAATATTTAATCAACTTTCCATATATGTAATGTAAGACTGATGTGGTTTGAGAAAAATCAGGTAATCATGGCAGTACTTGAGTGTCCCTAAAAGCAATTCCAGATGTTCTCCACAAAAGTACTACACCCTTAGTTATAGAAGTGTGTGTACAGGGCAGCCTGGGTGGCTCAGCGGTTTAGTGCCACCTTCAGCCCAGGGCCTGATCCTGGAAGCATGGGATTGAGTCCCATGTCGGGCTCCCTGCATGGAGCCTGCTTCTCCCTCAGCCTGTGTCTCTGCCCCTCTCTCTCTCTGTCTCATGAATAAATAAATAAAATGTTAAAAAAAAAAGAAGTGTGTGTACACCTAGTTACTAGAAGCATGTCATTTGTTCTTGAAATTTCTATGCTTCAGCTGATAATTTGTAAATGCACTGATAATGTAGGTCACATAATTTTTTTGAAGTAACTCCTCTCCAAAACAACTATATGGAATCAAGTAGCTGTTTAAGAACTTTAATGTTATTGGCCAGACAACAAAAACTTCATACTATACTCTTGGGCCACCATAGCTCCTCGAAGGCCCCCTTCACCCCAAATGTCTTCTTCTGTATGTAGCCACAGTGCTTGGCATTTTTGCTTGTTGCTGCTCTGGGTTTTTGCTACACATGTGGGTCAGGGGCCGGCCCTTGAGGAGCTGGCTGTGGAAGAGGGAAACCCCAATCAGAGCAAATCATTTCTTTGACCTGAAGATTCTGCCATTAAGTCTGGCTAGAGTGATCTCAGGTAATAAGGGGTTAATGTGTGTCTGCAGATTCAGCATGCCTTCTCTCTGGTAAGCCAGTCTCCGCTGTTCACTTCCTTTTTTCTTCTCCAAGGCTCCAGTGGCTGAACCTTTTTACTTTAGCTTTCCTAAATCTGCTGCCACCTACAGGGTGGCAACAATCCTTTTGGACAGTGGAAGGGAGTGCAACGGGTCCCCCAGGGCTCCTTTCAGCTTTCCTGTCACCCACTCTCCCCCTTCTCCCTCCCTCTCCTTCCCTCTTCCTTCCTCCTTCCTTCCTTCCTTCCTTCCTTCCTTCCCTTCCTTCCTTCCTTCCTTCCTTCCTTCCTTCCTTCCTTCCTTCCTTCTTCCTTCCTTCCCTCCCCTCCCCTAGATTTTACTGGATTCATTCTAGGGAAACAGCTTTTGAAAACTAACAAGAGGAGTAAAATTATAGACATTCCAGGAATCTCATGACTTCCTCATGGTAGTCATTTCTGAATGTGTGCTTCTTCACTTCCTGTCCTTAGGTGGTTGTGAAAGCATAGCTGAGTGGTACAGCACACAGCCTCTGGGACCAGACTCATGCATGGGGATCTGGATTCCACCAGCCACTAGTAGCATGATCCTAAGCAAGTGACTTAATCATTTTTAGGTTTCTCATCCATAAAATGGAGATAGGAGTACTTATCTTATAGGACCATGAGGACTAAGTGAGTTAATACATGTAACATATATAAATACATTGTAAATACCACTTAAGTATATTAGCTGTTATGATTTTTAAAATTCTGGAAGCCCACATCCCGTTTGGTTTGGCAATGATGATTGTCATATTTAAGTGCCACAGTGCTTATATCTCAGAGGTACCCCCAAATTTCTCTCATAGTAACAGAAAATAAGAATAGGTTTTGACACCTTCACTGAACTTTTATCATATTTTAACAAGGTCTTTCTTGCAAAATAAGATAGCCTGAGAGAGAGCCACACCACTGGAGGTGGCAGGAAGTTAGAATGTTTTCTGATTAAAATCCTACAACATAGGCGGCTGCTATTTCTGCCAGTTACAGGGACTTAGGAGCGATGCATAGGCACTAGATTTTCCAAGTAAAGGAGGTCTTACACTTTAAATACTCTTGGCATTTGGCTCCTCTTGATCTTCTGAATAAGTATTTCTTCATCCTTGTGGCAGTCATTCTGTTTTGTGATATGGAGGATGAAAGAAATACTTCACCTACAGGGTCTTAGAATTAGTTTATTATCTAACAACTTGATCAATAGGGCATGCTCAGAAGCATAACTGAAACACAGTAACAGAGCTGCCATTCAGGTTTCCTGACTTGGTCAGAGCTATGCTATGAAGAGTGTTCAGGCTTTCATTCAAGCTTATAAAGTCCTCCTGTTACGACTAAAGTGTTTTCCTTATACACAGTGGGAGGTATAGCTTTTTAAAAAATAAATAAATCAAGCTGCTATAAACATGTGTATTCAGGCTTCTATGTGGACAAGGCCTTTGGGTAAGTACCAAGGGGTGTGATTGTTGGATCATATGGCAAGACTATGTTTAGTTTTGTAAGAAATTTCCATACTATCTTCCAAAATGTTTGAACCATTTTATATTCCTCTCCAGCAATGAAGGAGAGCTCCTGTGCCTCTACATCCTTGCCAGCATTTGGTGGTGTCATCAGTGCTCTGGATTTTGGCCATTCTAATAAGTGAGCATTTGTATCTTGTTGTTTTCATTTGTAATTCCTTGATGACATATGATGTGGAGCACCTTTTTATGTGGTTAATTGCCACCTATACATCTTCTTTTCTTTTTATTGAGTTATAATTGACATATTATATTGGTTTCTGGCATAAAACATGATTCAATATATGTAAATATTGTGAAAGGATCACCACAATAAATCTAGGGAACATCCATCACCACACATAGATACAAAACATTTTTTTTTCTTTTTGTGATGAGAACTTTTAAGATGAACTCTCTTAGCAACTTTAAATACATATAATACAGTATTTTTAGCTATGGTACATCCCCCAGACTTATTTTTCTGATTTATCATATTTATTTATATAACTTATTTATCTTATGACTCTTAATGTGTACTTTTGAACCCCTTCACCCATTTTGCCCACTACCTTACCTCCTGCCTCTGGCAACCACATATCTGTTTCTCTGTATCTATGAGTTTGGGTTTTTTGTTTGTTTTGTTTTTAGATCCCACATATACATAAGATCATATGGTATTTGTCTTTCTGTGCCTAATTTATTTCACTTAGCACACATCCTCAAAGCTCCATCCGTGTTGAATGGATTTTCCAAGTGATCCTCTGCCCTAAGCCTGCAAACATTTTTAAAAAGTGTATTTAGCTAATTTCTAAAAATAAATTAGAGAGTTGACAATTCCTAAAAGTATTCTGAGTTCAGTCAAAACATACTGACATGGTGTGATGGTTAATTTTTTTATGTCAACTTGACTGGGCCACAGGGAGCTCAGACATTTGCCAGACATTATTCTAGTGTTTTTGGATAAGATTAACATTTTTTAAAAATTTTTTTATTTATTTATGATAGTCACAGAGAGAGACAGAGAGAGAGAGAGAGAGAGAGAGAGGCAGAGACACAGGCAGAGGGAGAAGCAGGCTCCATGCACCGGGAGCCTGATGTGGGATTCAATCCCAGGTCTCCAGGATCGCGCCCTGGGCCAAAGGCAGGCGCCAAACCGCTGCGCCACCCAGGGATCCCCAAGATTAACATTTGAATAGGCAAACCTAATATGCAGATTGCCCTCCCCAAGGTGTGGTAGGCCTCATCCAGTGGGTTGAAGATTTGAATAAAACATGAGTCTGAGCTGCCCACAAGTGAAAAGGATCTCCCACTGATTGATGACCTTGAGCAGGGATTCATCTTCCTTTGCCTTTACATTTAAATTGAAACATGGCTTTTCTTGGGTCTCGAGGCCACCAGCTTTCAGACTGGAATTTAACACAGCTTACCTGGCTCTTTCACTTGTCAACTCACACTGCAGATCTTGGGATGTGTCAGCCTCCATAGTCAGCCTCCTTAGAATAAATCTCTTCTTCATGTATGTATATACACACCCTGTTGGTTCTGCTTCTCTGAAGAGCCCTAATACACATGCATTTTGAAAACTGCCTCTTTTTTAGCTATGATGGGGGAAAACCTGTCCAGGTGGTCCAGATGCTGCTAGATCTAGCACTTATTAGGGGAGGGATGTGCCTGAGAGGGGCAGGAATACTGGGGTGGGCTGCCGCATCCCTGGGCACATGGTCAGAGGGCAGGGCCATGTCTACCTCGTTCCTCAGGGCCTGGCATGGTGCTCACATTAGCATTATTTGTGAAATGAATGAATGCCCTTCCAGTGAATGCCCTCCTCCATCTGAAAGTTTTCTTCTTTTCTTTTTTTTAAAAGATTTTATTTATTCATGAGAGACAGAGAGAGAGAGAGAGAGAGAGAGAGAGAGAGAGGCAGAGACATAGGCAGAGGGAGAAGCAGGCCTCCTGAGGGGAGCCTGATGCGGGACTCAATCCCAGGACCCTGTGATCACGACTTGAGCCAAAGGCAGACACTCAACCACTGAGCCACCCAGGCGTCCCTGAAAGTTTTCTAATTAAAAATTGCAATGTTAACTTGCAGCAACATATTTTTCTAGACACCCTGCTTGTTAAGAGCTAAGTTGTCAGGCAGCCCTGGTGGTGCAGCGGTTTAGCGCTGCTTGCAGCCCAGGGTGTGATCCTGGAGACCCGGGATCGAGTCCCACGTTGGGCTCCTTGCATGGAGCCTGCTTCTCCCTCTGCTTGTGTCTCTGCCTCTCTCTGTGTGTGTTTCTCATGAATAAATAAATAAATTTAAAAAAAAAAAGAGCTAAGTTGTCTTTGCCAAGAATGGCTAAAACAATGCCCATTATGTATTTTCCTGAGTGGTGTGTAAAAGGACTTTTCGTTTTCTTGAATAGAAGCAAAGATAGATCCATCAAGGACCTGAACAGAATATTACTTCTGAGCTACCATATTGCTTCAAGACAAACATATATGATGTCCCTGGAAAGAGTGGAAAATCTCCTTAACTGATGGGGACAGGTATTGATTTGGCTGGGGGTGGGAGGGTAGGGGAGTGCAGCGGAAACAAAGAGAGGCATTGAAGCAGGGTAGTAATCTGACTCAGGGTGGTGAGGCATAAAGGGAAACCAGTTATGATGACAGCAATAGGGCTAGACAAGAGTGGATGAGGCCATGAGCTGGTCTGGGTGGTAGGGACTGAGGAAGGACCAATGGGATTGATGATAGCTAGGATGTGGTCATGAAGAAGGGCAATGCCAAGCTTGACTTCTCAGTTCCTTACTGGAATAAATGGGCATTCTTCTCTGAGACAGGTAATTTAGGGGGAAGAATAGATATTGGGCAGGAAATGATGTCTGCTATTTTGGATGTATTCTACTTGAGGCACCTCAAGTTCAATGGACAGCTGCATGTCTGCATGTCTGTATAGGAGGTGGTCAGGGCTAAGAAACAGGATCGTGGGTTACTAGCATAGAGGTTGTAATTGAAGCCAGAGAGATTGAGTATAACATGAGAAGGGCAGGGAAGGAAAAATGCAACACTGAGGGCCACCAACATTTAATAAGACCATGAGGAAGAGGAGGCCACAAAGGAGATGAGAAGGAAAAAATCAGAGAAGCAGAAAAGAATCAGGAGAGAATGGAGTCTCAGAAGCCAAGGGGATGGGGCGAGAAAGTAAGAAAGAACATTTTCCCCAGCTTCTCACTTCTTTCTGCAGACATGAGGCCCTCGGCACCTGCTGAGTTCTCTCCAATAAGAAATGCTTCCCTGGGGTCCTTGGGGACATCACATATGTGACCCCCTCCCATGGGTCCCATGGTATTCTCAGGCTTCTCTGGATAAGGTATTTCTCCCCTGGGCAAGGTGGGTTTTTCTCCAGCCACATAGCTATGGCTCCACCATAGCTTGGGGTCAAAGGTACTGTGGTTCCCCACTCTGCTATTCCTGTTCTGCCATGGCCAGCCTGGAGCAGTCAGGGTGACAAAGCTTCAGGGAAATGTGTGATAACAGAGGGAGGAGACGTGGTTCCCTCCCCTTTGAGTCATAGTTTGTCACAGGTGTGTTATTTGTTGGAGGGATCTCCAGGTTTGGGGCATCCACTGGAGGAAGATTCAAAAAACACTCACTATAATGTGCTGTAAATCCTTACTTCCTTCCAATGAGTATGTGTTGGTGCCTTAGGAGTTTGTTATATACTTGGTTCCTTTTCTCAGAATGTACTCTCTCCTGGAGGCCCCTGCACACATGACTTTGGTGGGAAGACCTGTCCAATTCCCCTGACACATCCAGATCCACCTAAGAGTAGTGATGGCTGGAGTTCCAGCTCAGCAGCAACTTGGATCTCGTACAACCATTCCCTGTTGGGTCTGTGATGCCACTTTGTCAACTGATTTGAACCAATGGACATAAGAAGTCCAGCATGGAGCAAGATGAGCTCTTGTCTGCATAAGGCTATGGACTGGTATGGATAAGGGGATGCTGCAGTAGTTGGAAAGTCATTCTTCACCTCTGCCACTTTTTTTTTTAAGATTTTATTTATTTATTCTTGAGAGACAGAGAGAGAGAGAGAGACAGAGACATAGGCAGAGGGAGAAGCAGGGTCCATGCAGGGAGCCTGATGTGGGACTCGATCCCGGGACTCCAGGAACATGCCCTGGGCCAAAGGCAGGCGCTAAATTGCCAGGTGCCCCTGCCAGACATTTTCACTGGAGTCAGACTTCAGCAAGTCATAGAGTCCAATGGGGAATTAAGAGTTCTAGACCAAAAGAGCAGACAAACTCTTTCTCAAGAGCATAGGCTATGAAGGAAAGGACAAAGATGAGATGGTAGGTAGCTAAAGACAACCATGAAGTTGAACTTTGGGGCCTTTTTTTGTTGAGGTGGGACAAATTTGGATGGAAGCCAAATATCATAATTTATTTCTTGTCTTCATGTTATACTCCTTTCTGTTTTTGCGGTCCAATTGGTTCTTTCATTATTTATTGAATCTACACAAAACATACAATGATACTCTGTAACTTGTACAGATCCAACCATGACAGCCCTGATCACTTTGGCCTCTTCAGTGTTTTGTCCTATTCTGTCCTGGGAAGGGGAGGGGCTGAGGCACCATCAAGATAAGGTGGTTGGACTCATGGTGGTATTTGGGGCATGGTCCCTCACCACACAAACCCTCTGAGGAACAGGATCTTCAGCCCTCAGGCATGGTCAAGAAGAGAGCAGTGGAGGGCAGGGTTCCAGAGTGCTTCTCGTCACCTTGCTGTCACTAAGGAGATGGGTGACTCATGGCCTGGTTAGGGGTCACAGAGCAGAGTCTTCACTGGCTGTCAAGACAAGCTCCTTGTGAACTTGGCCACAGTAACTTCTTGCAAGATACATCCACGAAAACAAAAGAAACAAAAGCAAAAATGAACTATTGGGACTTCATCAAGATAAGAAGCTTTTGCACAGCAAAGGATACAGTCAACAAAACTCAAAGACAACCTACAGAATGGGAGAAGATATTTGCAAATAACATATCAGATAAAGGGCTAGTTTCCAAAATCTATAAAGAACTTATTAAACTTAACACCAAAGAAACAAACAATCCAATCATGAAATGGGCAAAAGACATGAAGAGAAATCTCACAGAGGAAGACATAGACATGGCCAACATGCACATGAGAAAATGCTCTGCATCACTTGCCATCAGGGAAATACAAATCAAAACCACAATGAGATACCACCTCACACCAGTGAGAATGGGGAAAATTAACAAGGCAGGAAACCACAAATGTTGGAGAGGATGTGGAGAAAAGGGAACCCTCTTACACTGTTGGTGGGAATGTGAACTGGTGCAGCCACTCTGGAAAACTGTGTGGAGGTTCCTCAAAGAATTAAAAATAGACCTGCCCTACGACCCAGCAATTGCACTGTTAGGGATTTACCCCGAAGATTCAGATGCAATGAAACGCCGGGGCACCTGCACCCCGATGTTTCTAGCAGCCATGTCCACAATAGCCAAACTGTGGAAGGAGCCTTGGTGCCCATCGAAAGATGAATGGATAAAGAAGATGTGGTTTATGTATACAATGGAATATTACTCAGCCATTAGAAACAACAAATACCCACCATTTGCTTCAACGTGGATGGAACTGGAGGGTATTATGCTGAGTGAAGTAAGTCAATCGGAGAAGGACAAACAGTGTATGTTCTCACTCATTTGGGGAATATGAATAATAGTGAAGGGGAATATAAGGGAAGGGAGAAGAAATGTGTGGGAGATATCAGAAAGGGACACAGAACATAAAGACTTCTAACTCTGGGAAATGAACTAGGGGTGGTGGAAGGGGAGGAGGGCGGGGGGTGGGGGTGAATGGGTGACGGGCACGGAGGGGGACACTTGACGGGATGAGCACTGGGTGTTATTCTGTATGTTGGTAAATTGAACACCAATAAAAATTAATTTATAAAAAAAAATAAATAAACCAATAAATGGAAAAAAAAAGACAAGGTCCTTGTTTTGCTTGTCTTCTGTTTTTACTTTTATATTTCATTTTATTATTATTTTTAAAAGATTTTATTTATCTATTCATGAGAGACACACACAGAGAGAGAGAGAGGCAGAGACACAGGCAGAGGAAGAAGCAGGCTTTATGTAGGGAGCCCGATGTGGGACTCGATCCCAGGACTCCAGGATCACGCCCTGGGCCGTGGGCAGACACTCAACCACTGAGCCACACAGGTGCTCCACATTTTATTATTTTAAAAAGAAAATTTTGAGTGTATTTGACAGAAAATGTTATGTTTCCTACAGGCATGCCACCAGCTTCTTGTTCGCCCTCCCTCTCCCCGCCTTCTCTCTGCTCCTGATCAGCTGCAGACTCTTGTCCCTCAGCTGGGAGTTGGTCTTGCTGCCTCACTCTCCTGTGGGGACACTGGTGATGATTTTTTAAGCTCTTTTTCTCCTCTATTTGGGGTACAATTTACAGAACATGAAACTCACCATATTAACCATTTTAAAGTGCCCAATTCAGTGGCTTTTAGAATATTCACAAAGTGCCTGTCACCACATTTTTCCACCACATTTTTGCTTGGACCTTTTAAGCCCACAGGAGGGAAGGAATGGGCTAACCTCATCAAAATAAACCTGAGTTCCAGGGTCCAGAGGCATTCGTGGTTTGGAAATTGAATCCCCTTGTTTTGAAATTTCTATTTATAACCTTTATCCTCCTCACAAGCCATGTAAAGAAAGACTTTGCTTTAGTGTCCTTCATTCGTTTGAAGTTAGTTCAAATAGTTCCAATTCATTCGTTCAGCATCTTTAGATTCTCTTCTAGGCACTTAGTACTGATGACCCAGAGGTGAGTAAGCAAACAAGGCCCCTCTCCCCAGGGGGTTGCTGCCTAGCAGGATGACACTGCAATCAAGTGTTTACTTTTGTGGTTCATGCTGTGGAGGTAAATGACAGGATTTACCTGACAACTAAAGAGCTAATGGTGTTGTGAGTGAAGCCTAGCATTCAGTAGGATCAGGTGGGAAGGATGGTGTATCCAGGTGTGAGTGCAGCTGCATGTGGACAGGGCAGAGGAAGTGATGTGGGGTGAAGACTGGGGTAAGAAAAAGGACAACCTTGGAGACCTAGAATTCAGTGCAGCTGAAGCATCCATCAGGAGCTGTGGGAGAACAGAACAAGAGGTGCCCAGTGAAGGGAGGAGGCCAGTCTCACAGGACTTTATCATACAAATGAGAAACCATCCAAGTTAATGTCGTGATGATGGGATCCATCAACTATGTGGAGACTGGCTGGGAGGCCCTTACAGGGTGGAAGGGTGGTTATATGGGTGAGGCTAAGAGGCATGAAGATGGAGAGGAGGGAAGAGATTTAAGTGACATTTGGGAGGTGGAACTGGCAGGAAAGGAGAAGGGGTTCTTTAAGATGACTTAAGCAATAGGGTGAGTGGTGAGATAGGGAACTCGGATGAGAAGTTTGGAAGGAAGGATCACAGGTTCACTTCAGGACAGGTTGAGTTTGAGGTACCTGCAGAAGCATCCATGTGGAAATGTCAAGTCCTTTTGATGTCTGGCAGCTCGGAGGACAAGCATGGCCAGAGACAGAAAGGTAGAAGAGGCAGAAAGTAACCAGAAAGCCATCCTTCATATACAAATATCACAGTATCTGAAGCACTTGGTTAGACTGTTTGCCTGCCTTTCTCCCCACCTCAGTGATTCTCAATTTTGTTCCGCCCATGCCTGGACCACATGTGTGTTGCTCTCTCCAGGAACGTCTCTCATCGGGCACAGAGACTCTCCCTTGTCTGTAGGCTCCTTCAGGGTGGGAAGCTGTTCTTATCTTTGCATTCCCAGCATCCAGGACACATTTTAGAAACTCACTAGTTTTCTGATGGACAAGTGACCAATACATCACATGAATCAATGATTGTGTTGGAATCCACACAAAAGCACCAATTAAGGATAATGGTTGACATAAATCTCTAATTTTATAGTATCCATTATTGCAGTTAAAATAATCTTTAGTTATTTATAAGAAAAATGCAAAGTCATACAAGAGATCAAAATGAGGATAGCCTAAAAAGTACACCATTAAGATATATTAATAGGGCATCACAAAAATCTAGGAGTTTAAAAGCATTGCCTTTATCAGCTGAAGAAATGTCATCCAGGAAGCTTCTGAGGGCATGTCTCAAAGAAAAATGGGTTGCTGGCTGTAACATAATGTAGAAGAGCATGGCTCAGCTTGGGAAGTCAAGAGAAGCTGCCTTTTTTTTGCCTTTTTAAAGACTTTATTGATTTATTCACGAGATACACATACGCGCGCGCGCGCGCGCGCACACACACACACACACACACACACAGGCAGAGACACAGGCAAGGGGAGAAGCAGGCTCCATGCAGGAAGCCTGACGTGGGACTCTATCCCGGTCTCCAGAATCACACCTGGGCTGAAGGTGGCGCTAAACTGCTGAGCCGCCCAGGCTGCCTTTTTTTTCCCCCCCTAAAACCCTTTTTCCTAAAGGATTAATAAACTCAATCATTTCATCTCAAGTTGCACAATTGACTGCTTTGATCACTTCAGTTCAACTGTGGAGTTGGTTTCTACGAGGCATCCTCAGGGAAGCATAGCCCTAGGAGGAAGGAGAATAGGTTTTCCTCTGCTGTGGGCTTTGAGGCAGGGAGCACCCCAGCTGTAGCACCCAGTCACCCCAAGGCTGCAGCGGGCCCAGCACATGCTTTTAGCATCATGGCCAGAAGCTTCTCTACACACCAGGGAAGCAAGACTTGCCCTCATCCACTTTTACCCCAGTGCGCAGGTGTCAGAGAGTCTGAATTCCTAAGCAGGAAATCATGCAACAAGTAGGGTGAACATTTCTCATCACTCTTTTGGGCAAATGTAGTGATGTATGTTTTAGTTACGAAGGTAGAAAACGGTTTTAATGTTATTAGGCCCAAAGTGTTATTAAATGTGAAAGATGATCTAACAAATTGCTTCTGTATGTGTTAAGTGAACAAAGGAAGCAGATGTCCGTAGCTGGGAGGAAGAAGGCCATGGGCATAGCAAGGAAACCTGACTTAGAAATTAGTGAATAGCTCTTGGATAAGCAACACAAAACAGAAACATGGACTCAGAGGAGAGGAAAATTATAAAACAGGAAGGGCAGAAGTGGAAAATGTTATAAGGAAGATGGTCTTGTTTCAAAACTAAATGAAACATCTATTGTTTTAAAAAGAAAGGGAAAGAAAATCTGCTGGACCTTAGTTATTAATATTGTATTTTTAAAAATATATTTTTATATTATAAATTAGAGAGGAAGAGGAAATCCAGTACTCATGGTTGATGTCTGCTAGAACTAAGGGAGAGCAATCTCTTGCCTTTTTACACAAAAGCCACTGTTGCTGGGACGCCTGGGTGGCTCAGTGGTTGAGCATCTGCCTTCGGCTCAGGGTATGATCCTGGGATCCTGGGATCAAGGCCCGCATTGGGCTCCCCACATGGAGCCTGCTTCTCCCTCTGCCTGTGTCTCTGCCTCTCTCTCTGTGTCTCTCATGAATAAATAAATACAATCTTAAAAAAAAAAAAAAGCCACCGTTGCTCACAGCCATTTCTCTGAATATGAAAGAGCATCACTAAATTGAAGGGAGAAACATCAAACGTTCAGAAATAGCTAACTGTAGAATTACATGGAGGAAAAGTCTTACTGACTTAATTCCCAGACGGTTCATAGAGCACTGGTCACACAACTGACCTGAGTGATGGGGCGATGTGACAATGGCACCTTCAGGCCTCTGGACCCTCATCTCAATTGTGCCAACATTGTTCTGCTTACGTCAATTTGCAAAACAACTGCGCTCTTCCTATCTTTTATCAGGGCTACTATAAGGGTTCTAACCTACCACCAATAATGAATACAAGGTTAGTTCTGGGCTGGTCTTGGGACTGTAGCCAAACCAGAATGGTTGTGTGCAGATTTTATGCTCCAGCAGAGGGCAGTACCACATAAAAATTACTCTCAAGTGGCACCTGACCTGTAACACCTTTTGTCTATTACTGAAAAATTTCTACATTATTGAATGATTGTTATTTGGGCTACCAAAATGGTGACTTGTCCATATGAGGTATCCTGAAATATTGGTGGGCAATCCTGGTAAACAACTGAAGCCCTAACCATTTTAAATCTTACAATTAAGGAAAGTATGGCTTGTTTGAATCTCTCTTTTGAGAGTCTTCCTCAGTGTGTATGTGTCTTGGGTGTGTGTGGTGTTTATTGTGGCTTTGCTTCCCTTTCTCACAGGTGGTGATTTTCTATTGCAAGCAAATAAATTGGGTTCATAACATAAAGTGTCATAATGTAATACTGCACTGAATGTTGTTTGAAAGACTGTATCTTGGAACATAGCTGAAGTGATTTCATCTTCCTAATAGCAAAAGGACCTCATCATAAGTAGTTTCATCTACAGCATGGTCAATTTAACCAAGATCCCTAGGAACACATAATGGGAAAATCTTATGTATTAATGAACTTACATTTTAACAGTTATTTAATCAATTAATCATTAAGTGATTTCCTTCCTTTCCACTCCTACCTTTGTGAAGTCTCTGCCTATTTTGGTTGTTATGATATTTGTTCTAAGGATGTATTTGTTTTAGAGAGAAATAAAAAGGGAACAACTGTGGGGAGGGGCAGAGGGAGAGAATCTTCAGGTAGACTCTCTGCTGAGCTTGGAGCTCTACATAGGGCTTGATCTCATGACCCTGAGACCATGACCTGAGCTGAAACCAAGAGTCTGACGCTTAACCACTCACGTACCCCACCATTACGGTATTTATTTGCTAAAAATTAGCTTAAGATTATCTTGGGTTATTATGCAATTGAGTTGAGGTTCTGTTTCAGTTGACAATTACTCTTTGGTATGCCTATATGTAACAGAGATAAAAGTCACCCTACATTTAATCAAAGTCTAGATTCCAAATGAACTTGTATTTAAAAAACTTTTTGGCTAAATTTCTCTCTGCTAATATCATACTTCTTCTTAAGATTTTATTTTTTTGTTTGAGAGAGAGAGAGAGTTAGAGAGTGAGAGATGGTGAGCATGAGTGGGTGGGAATGGCAGAAGGAGAGGGAGAAGCAGACTCCTCGCTGAGCAGGGAGCCCTATATGGGGCTTGATTCCAGGACCCTGAGATCATGACCTGAGCTGAAGGCAGATGCTTAACCGACTGAGCCACCCAGACACCCCTAATATCATACTTCTAATAATTAAAACTTTTCATAAGGTAAATGTCAATCGATAGATATATCAGTACGCACAAATAATGGTAGAATCAAACTCAAATAGCACATTCATGTCAACTCCTCCATTAAAAAAAAAAATCCCATCCACCCTGGCATTTCCCCTCATACAATTATAAACAGGAATTTTAAGCTTTCTTAGCCAGTAATGGAAATGATTAGCAATGAGGACTTTGGAAGTAATGATGCCAAATGGAGAGATGAGGGGGTGGTACTCCGCGGTCACATGTTTTTCCTGGAATTTCTGAATTTGATGGTAACGAAGCACACTCAGCTCTACCTATAACTGAATCCTCTGAATTCTGTCTTAACATTTTTGACCCAACTCAAAGGTAAGTTCAACAGACACTTACAAACAATAGCCATGTTCAAGATACTTATGATGATAAGTTCAGTTGAGAGTCAGTTTTGAGACTGAAAGTTTGGGTTTGGAATTGGAAACACATCCCACAGAAGCAGTGCCAACAGGGACCAGTGTTCCCAAGCCAGCTTACAAAAAACTTAATTCAGAAATTTGGGAAATATAAAACACAGAGTTCTAAAAGAACCTCATCGACCTGTATAATAATGTTTCCATGGGAAAATTCTTTACAATATTTTCCAGATTTAATGTCTGGGATATTAGGACCTTAAACATTATTTAAAATTTGCAGCTGTGGCCCTACTGGGAGGAAATTTAGAAGCCTACTTCCCCCAACTGCTGTTCCAAGCCAGTGAGGGTGGTCTGTGACTTGCCATGGCTTTCAATAGAGCAGAGTGTCCACTGAGTTGGGAATCCCCCAAAGAGCAGGGCATGAGACCAGGGAAGTTGGTGAGGCATCAGGGAGGGAAGTCAGGGTGCTGGGAGTGGTTTTATTCCAATCCTCTTTCTTCCCATTGCACCTTTGTCCTATGTGATTTGGAGGTGGAGGAAGTGTCTGGAAATCACAAAAACCTCCCCATCTCCATGGGAGTGATGGCTGGCGGTAGGGGTGGAGGTACCACCTGTTCTTTTAGGTCTCTATTTGGAGGAGGTGGAGGCCTAGAGGCAGGAGGAGGAAGGAGGAGGCTGATGAAAGGGAGCAAAAGGGGTTTTCCCTCCCATCTTCCTCCCTCTCCCCCTCCCCCTGCTTCTACCTGTTCAGAGAGCCTGCAGCATGACAGGTTGGCCAGGATGGAGATGGGCAGGGGGAACTGTGATAAAAAGATGAAGTTCCCCAGCAGCATGGAGAGGGGAGGGACTTCCTGTGGCACCTGGCCAGGCTGCAGTTAGCGGGACATTCGCCAGCCTGGGGCCCACTCCTTGTATCCCAGGGGTAGCGGGACACAAGCAGTGATGGCATCCAGCTGCTGGGGGCCTGTATCATGCCTCACTGAATAATCACAACCCCTTTTTGGTTCTACTTCCCTAATGTGTCAATAAAGAATGCCAAAAGTTCATCTATATTCTTCCACTGTGAATTTTGTGCTAACATATTGAGGGTGGGGTGTCTCTGTGGATTAATGGGAACCTGGAACATAAAATCCAATTCCTAGAAGATTAGAGCCCCCTTAATGAGTTCTGTATGGGGGCCTGGACCATAGCTGACGATAAATATTTAACAACCACCTCATTGGACATCAAATGAAAAGAACCTAATTTTAAAAAGCTCCACATTTTATTACTGGCTGCTCCTTTAAATACATTTTGTGATAAACCTGACATTTATCTGATAAATCAAACAGAGGAAGATGAGCTGGTGAGATTAACCCTGAATCAGAAGTGATGAGTAAATCTCCATAGATTTGGTTAGTTTAGAGTTTATATTTGATAGCAAAGTTGACTCTATATATTGGCAACCTAATAAAAACTGCTAAAACTGTCAGTGGAAAAATATGTTGGAAGTTGAGAAAATAATTTTGAGTTAATTCTTATCTTTTTTTGTATTCCAATCAATGTTCATCATTTTTGTTTATTTTAATCCAGGACTTGTACAGAATCCCACCAAACTGAAAGGAGTGCCTTAATTTTCTGAGCCCTAGCCAAATCCAAATAGGGCTTTCATGAAATTGTCAAACAAGCCAAGGCTTTGCCTCATATCTCTGTTACCCCATTAAAGAGAGAGAGAGAGAGAGAAAATCTGATCTCTCCAGTAACAAACTCTTCCATCCTCCACACTTTACCTCCCCCTAAACCACAAAATAAGAACATCAGATCCAATTTTTCATTTGGTTTAAAATCCTCTAAAATTTGGATTTTAATACTGATCTTCAGCATCAAAGACGTCCTGTTCTTGGCTAAACCGCTATGTAGTGTTTGTTGGTGGCTCTGTTTCCAGCTGTGATAGTAGGTGCTAGAAGTTGTTACATTTCAACTCTGGGCCAGGTGATTTTTATTTATTTCTTAACTGAACCTGATGCCAGGTATGAAACACTCAGCCTCATACAAAAGATGGAAGAGCAACTATTAATTCAATTATTAAAAAGTCTTGGGTAACAAAGGGCATTTTGTGTACTCTCTCTGTCAAACACTTTGCCCAAGGTCCTTAGAAGCCTCCTGATTCCTAACTCTGTCCTCTTGCTACTACTTTCGTATTTCTTGAAAAAAAAAAAAAAAACTTGCACAAATGGCATTTTTGATAGTGCACAGATTACCAAAGTATTTGAATAAAAAAGATGGCACATATGGCCTGAAGGTATGGCCCCATGATACCAAAGTCCTCTATGACAGAAAAAGGAACAAGGTAATTTCTCTGTGTTGTCCTCTGAGCTGTGGGAGAGCTGTCGGTCCATCATGAAGGATCCCATGGATGATGACCCGCTGGCACCATCCACAATCTTAGTTCTCATTTCAGTCTCCCACAGTGTTGAAGGGAGAGGATCATTTTATTTTCATCATGGCATGATTCCATTCTGACTGTGGTCTTTGGCCCTGGTCCCCATCTGAGGCTACGAAGTATCTTTCCCCAACCAGATTCAAATATTAAATTAAAACAGATGTGCAAAACTACACAAACAAAAATCCGCCACCAAAACACAACCCTACCCCTCCAAAAACCACCAGCTTTGGGGAGAACCAATCAATGTCCATCATTCTCATGTCCTTATCCTAAACAATTACAAAAAGAACAGATCCACATTCCTCCTTAACCTGTGGTTGTTTCAAGGTCCAAAGAGGCCAAAGAAGCTGAGGTCTAGAAGTTCCTGGGGTGGTCTCCACGACCCCTCTTGGGCCACTCCTCATCCACCCACCTGTGCAGGACCTTCTCCACGTCGGCCCTGTGGTAGAGCCTGCAGAGCTCCATCAGCTGGCCCACTGGCCTCTGGCTGTTCCGGAGCAGGAACTCCAAGGTAGGGCTCTGAGGCCGCTGCTCCAGGAAACACAGTTCATCATAGGGCATGCCCCATTTACTTGCAAAATTCCTCCAGTTTTTTATTGTTGGGTGACATGGATCCAGCTTTATCCTGATGACATCAAGCAAGTCCTGATCATTGAGTAAGTCACTTATGGTCGGGGCCCGGAGCACACAGGAGGAACAAGTACAGTTCTCCTTGCAGGACTCATCTTTGCTTAGGTCTGCAGGAACAAGCAATATGGTCCACAGGTCAGCAAAAAAGCAAACACACGCGTCCATCTCTTCCATCCTTTATCCTTCCGCTGGAATGCCAGCAGCACTAGTGGACAGCACAGTGCACCTTAGAGAGGAATATTTCAGGATACTCCTTTCTATATATTCACACAACAAATGTGGCATTTTTGACAGCCAAGGATGGCTTGCTTTGCTAGAAGCACTAGTGAGATTTTACACAGTCAGCTTCCCTTTCTTTTTGAGACTCTCTGTGTCTTACATTGTGTGTTTGGGGGACTGCTGGCGGGAATCTGAGTTTGGAGGAGCAGGGCTCTCTCTGTGGGCAGGTCACCAGAGGAAGTCACGCTCAACTATCCCATAGGTACACCAGCCTATACCTACCTGGACCTCCACCCCTACCCCTTCCAAGTTACAAGTCAGCCCTGACAGCTTTTGAATGCCTAACATGGCATGTTAGGGTATAAATGATTACACAATTCTTTAAAAGGCCTTTAAACACACACACACACATACACACACTCACACACAAACAGAAAACTGGAATATCCAGTCTATATGCATATTTGAAACGGAGAGATAATTGATAATGCCAGAAAACTTACTTTTTAGATTTATGACCACCTTATCATCCCTTTGCCTTTATCTGTGTTTTCTTCACCCATGCAGCTGCTTTGAAGTGAAGCCAACACCCTGAGGTGTGCACAGTGGGATGGATGAACAGGAGGCTTCTGAGCTGAGCCTCACCAAGGAGGGCACAGCCCCAGCCCAGGGGAAGGGCAAACATTTTTCCATCAGTTATCTCTAGCCTCATTTCAATACGAGGGAGCATGAGTGTAGGGGGAGGGTGAAGGAGCCGGGAAGAATTGCTGGCAAACTATTTACAATAAAGTTGTAAGTGGTGTTTCTGCACAGCATGGCATCGTGTCTTCAACTCTGCATTCATACTGGGTCTCCTGACCCTTCTGACCAGGGACTTTAACACCCAAAGGCTATGCCAGAGATCACTGGCTTGGAAAATTCTGGGAGGCTGCAACGACCTTTACTATTCTGAGCCCTGGACTTCCCAGTTTAGGGAAATTAAAAATTAGAACAAGACAGTGTCTTTGGTGATCCAAAGATTGTGAACCAGCAATCTGGAGGCAAGTATAAGATGACAAAAACCATAAAAATCCTGCTCATATTCATTGATCTGGGATATAACTTCAGGAAACCCAGCCTAAAGAGATAATCTAGAATATGTATACAAATGAAAATGTTTAATTACAGTCTTATTTTTATTATCCATTTTTAAAAAACAAATGTCAAAGTTAAGGGATTAGTGGAAGAAATTTTTGTACTACTTGATGGAATTTCTTTAAAGATTTTATTTATTTATTCATGAGAGACACACAGAGAGAGAGAGGCAGAGACACAGGCAGAGGGAGAAGCAGGCTCCATGCAGGGAGCCCAATGTGGGACTCGATCCCAGGTCTCCAGGATCAGGCCCTGGGCTGAAGGCGGCACTAAACCACTGAGCCACCCGGGCTGCCTGGAATTTTATTTAAATAACTATGAAGACCACGTAGCAACCCAGAGAATGCGTGTGCTGTAATGTCAAGTGAAAAATGCAAGATGTAAGGGATGTGTGTATTGGACATTAGAAGTATATGAGAACTCGATGTTACTATTACTATGGAAGGAAATGTACAAAAATGGTAATAGCTATTGTCTTAATTCCATAGGATTTTCTATTTTCCAAACTTTCTCCAGGGCTATTTTATTTCTATGGTAAACAATGTATTACATGAACAAGCAGGTTCCCACCTGACTTTGAAGGTCACCTGGACCTCCTGTTGCTTTGAACGGCCCCCCCTCACACCAGCTGCCCTTGGATATGGCTGCCTCTGGAACTGGGCCCAAGGCTCCTAACACCCCTTTGGATACCGCCTATTGCATGCTAGGCTGTATCCTTTCTGAACGTTCCTTCTGACAGCTGAGCCCCGAACCCCCAGCCCCATCCCACCATGGCCCAGCTGCATCCCTTACCCTGTCGTCTGATGTGCTGAGATTCCAGCCTGTCTCACTGCTAAGACCTAAAACAGTACTTCAATTTCTCCCCCTAAGGCACCCAAAGCTCTCTGACTCCCCTATTGACTTAGAGCTCCTGAGATGTCCTGGTGGACTTTTTCACTGCATCCACCCAGTTCCCATATCGCAGCCTCCACTGGAAGCTCTCCATGCTATAATTCCTGTCTTACTTCCTACGACATCCTTAAATACAACCCGTGCTCCAGACCAGCTGGACTACTCCATTCCCCGAACTTCATCCATCCTACAAAGCCTACCTCAGATCAATTAAAAAACTAATAATCAGCTCAGTATAGAAATCTGGAAGTTATATACCCTTAGAGATTTTGTATAACCTATTGAACATTTCAGGCTTTCCCAAATTCTCACAATTTAGAGGAACAATTTGATGCAGACTGTTGCACATATATTTTTGGCCACATCTATACTTGCCGCACCAGTAAGGGGATTGTTAGGGCCAAAAGTATGAGCATTCTAAGGCCATCAATGCATGTGCCGCAAACAGCTTTCCAGAAATAAAGGTGGTACCAATTTATACTCTAACCAGGGAACAGTGATACCACTTATCTCACCTGACCCTTGTCAGCACCAACTAAAAAATGTTTGTCAATTTCCCAGTTGGAAAAATGAGGCCTCCATGTCTTTTCTGGTGTTTTCTCTCTGATCAATTTTCTCTCTTCTCTCTCTCTCCCTCTCCCTCTCACAGGACTTCCTCAACTGAACTTCTCTTTCTCTGCTGAGCTTCGTCCAGCCCATAAAACCCACCTCAGATTCACCCGTTGGCATGAAATCTCCCCAGCTCCTGTCCAGAATGCCACCTCACTCAGAATTCCATCATTTTGTTTGCATCTCCTGACTCTGCCTTGCGGTGAGATGTTCTGCATGGTTTTCTTGTTCCTCATTACACCTTAAATGCCCTGAGAACAGATCCAGATCCTTCTGCAGTGTGTTCCACATCTTAGAGTTTAAGAATGCTGAATTACATTTCTGTGTAATATCGGGAGAGCCATTCTTGAGCCATGTTAATAATGATGCATTAAGAAGTAAAGCTTTAGCAGCATGATGGGACAATTGTTTATTTACTTAACAAACTTTGTGGGATGCCTGGGTGGCTCAGCGGTTGAGCATTTGCCTTTGGCTCAGGTTGTGATCCTGGCGTCCTGGGATCGAGTCCCACGTCGGGCTCCTTGCATGGAGCCTGCTTCTCCTCCCTCTTCCTATGTCTCTGCCTCTCTGTGTCTCTCATGAATAAATTAAAAAAATCTTTTAAAAAATGAACTTTGTAATGGCAAAGGTGATTTCTTACTAAAAGAAGTATGTAAGGGAAATTCTGCAATATTCTTTGCTCTTATTTAAAGGTGGGATCAAATGAACAATATTCTGTCAAATGGCCATGAAAGCACGTATAATTCTGTTTTTGTAAAAACAAACAATACAGTAGTGGCGCCTGGGTGGCTCAGCCAGTTAAGCATCTGCCTTCAGCTCTGTCATGATCCTGGGGTCTTAGGATGGAGCGCTGTGTTGGGCTTCCTGCTCAGTTGAGAGCCTGCTTCTCCCTCTCCCTCTGCAGCCCCCTGGCCCCAGTTCCTGCTCTCTCTCAAAAATGATAAATGGGATCCCTGGGTGGCTCAGCAGCTTTAGTGCCTGCCTTCAGCCCAGGGCATGATCCTGGAGTCTCGGGATTGAGTCCCGCATTGGGCTCCCTGCATGGAGCCTGCCTCTCCCTCTGCCTGTGTCTCTGCCTCTCTCTCTCTCTCTCTCTCTGTGTCTCTAATGAATAAATAAAAATGATAAATAAAAACCCTAAAAAAACAATATAGTCATTCATATTCATATAAAGCATATATACCTATTCACAAAAAAAGTCTGGAAGTATGTATAACAAAATTGTTAATAATGGATATTTTCTAATTGTTTATGATTGTGTTTCTTTGGATGCTTCAAAAAATATTTTTAAATGTCACAGAAAAATAAAGGATTGAAATCTCCAAGTCCTGCATTAAATATATTGGAGCGCAAAGGTCATCTCTGACACCACCTTTGTAAGATTCAGTGTTGGTGAGATTCTTTCCTTTGGTGTCAAGAAAAGGAATAAAAATATTAATAAATAATATAAAGAAGAAGAAAGACATCAGTAAGGTTTCTGCAAAGCTCCTTTAAGCCTTCTAGTGTAGGAGAAGCTTTTCTTTGAACTTTGACCATTTATTAGTTTGTCTGAAAAGAAATGATGTGCCAAAAATCTATCGGTTTCCCTTTTGTATTTTTTGTGACACAAATCACAAACCGTTTACTGAATTGCAATCGACACGAAACATCAACACTAGTGAATTTAAAGCTGCCTGCTTTAGAATCATAAACTATAATTAGCTCCCTGGTGGACTTAAGTGGAGAAACCTGTTTTGTTTTGTTTTGTATCGTATCAAATGTATTTCGTCCTATACTGCCTTAAACACCTATCATGTAATGGTGCACATAAAAGGCTAGGCTGGGCGATGCCTTGGGGAAGAAACAATTGTGGGGAGAGAGAGACATAGGACCAAAGAAGCTTTCATCAGAAATGGGGGGAAATGGGATTATTACCTGATGCCTCTCAAAAAACAAGCACAAGGGTTCTATATAGCTGCAGCTCAGAAATTGTTTGCCAAATGAGTGAAGAAGAACTATGCTTTCTCCCCAGGAGAGAAGGGACACTTGTTGTTTTTAAATAATTTCTACACCCAACGTGGGGCTTGAACTCACAACCCCAGAGATCAAGAGTTGCACACTCTACCCACTGATCTGGCCAGGCACCCACTGATAGATTTGTTACTACTGTTTGATGAGTCTTAGGACCTGAAGAGAGAAAATTAAAGGAAAAAGAATGTTGCTGTGTCTCCTGACAATAAAGAGGTATTGGGAGAAAACACTACAGCATTGGTCT